GTGTGTGTGTATATATATATATATATATAAAGAGAGAGAGAGAGAGAGAGAGAGAGCTTTTCAAGAAAAACCCAAAAACACTAAGTCAACTGTTAGATTAATTGATCCGATGGATGTCATTAAAGAGGTGGTTACAACTTTATTTTTAAATTAAAAAATATATCACCCCCTATTTTTCCAATTGAAAAGAAAAGAAATTTGATCAGAATTCAAAAGAAACAAATAACACCAAAAAAACGATCATATTTTTCTCGTTTTTTCGATTTTCCATTTATTAATAGTCAGTCACACTTGATATTATATTTCATCACATGTGATATTAAATTAGAAACATAGATGACCAAGATTGTGAGCCAAGTCATTCGTACACCACTAGGGTCCTACACGTGTATTATCACATGTGATAATTTATTGATGTGATACTAAATCATAGACGTAGATGGTCTTTGGCGTGACCTAGTTCGCAAGCTACGTCATTTGCATACCACCAAGACCTCTTACATATATTATCATATGTGATAAGGGTGCTATCGTTTTCCCTAAAATGGAGTTGTTCTCATTTGAACCTCCACCGAAAATACATTACCCAGCCCTAGTACACGTTTTGTTAGGCCCACCTTAAAATACCGATTCAACATCGTTGGGCCCCGTTTAATCAACTAGGGCCAAATCAAGCCTTAAATCTTCGTTTTGGGTCAGTCTAATTTTTACGCTTTGTATCAGACCAAATCTATATGCCGATTCTTGACCATCTCTATCAAACATATTCAAATATCAATTATAGATAACCTTGAACCTCTCCCCCTAATATGTCGCATAGCATAACGTGACCCTTTTATAACAACTAATTTATTTTATCCATTGATATCTTATTTTTTATAACACAAATAAAAAAATCAATATAATTTGAGAAAAAAGTAATATGTAACTTCAACTCAGAAGCAAAAGGAAAATTATTATATTTAATGGATTGTTTTTAGTCAAATTTGTATTTAAAAATTTGTTAAAATAGAGGGAAAATTGAAGTTAAAAGCTGCCTTTTTTGAATTTAAACAACTAAACACTATTTTGTGCTCATGAAAATAAATAGAATAAGGGGTCGTTTACTTAAATGCTTACCCAGTAAGCGTTTACCATTAAAAGTCAACACTATAATTTATTTTATCGGACAAGATTGTGGTACATCAAAACGTATCTTATGCGACAATTTACCTGGTAAGTGCTTACCCGGGTAAGAGTCGTCAACCTCACTTACCGGGTAAGACTCTCCGTTCTTATCATCGCTCTTACCGGGTAAGATTCTTACTTCTTGTCATGTTCATCCGGTAAAGGAAAATTGCTCAATAAGTACTTACGGAATAAGAGTTTAGTAAACGGCCTCTAAATTACAAATTTTGGTCCCTTAGGGTTTTTTTTTCCACAGTTTTAAAATTACAAAATAACCATGGTGGTTTTAAAAAAACATTCGGGTTTGGGCTCTTCCTCTTACCAAGAATAATTGAAGAGAATTATATCCGGTCACCAACATTGGCATAAAAAAAGTAGGAATGGATAAAAACCTAACAGAACTAGTCGTTAAAGGTTTCTGTTAAAATAAGCGTATTTACGTTCTTTTCTTGATTTTTTTCGTTGTTTACCATATCAAAATTGATTTTATGACTTCGGTCCTTGTGGTTTTTGATTGGGTAAAAGACAAAAAAAAAATGAAAAAGGATAAAAATGCACCTTCTTTAACGTTAGAGAGGAATCAAATTCAAATGTTTTTACAGATCATAATGACCATCTTATAATTTCAAAATTGTATAGACAAACAAAAAGTGTTATTTATAACAAACCAAGGGACCAAATTTGTAGTTTAATCTAATAAATAATCTATTTTTTCAAGGTTTTTGTTTAGTTGACAAAACTGATTTTTTTTATATTTTTTAAATAAATTTGGACTTTTTGGAATAAATTAAGTATTTATGACACTTCATAATAGCTTAATTAACTCAACACATGGCAAAATGTATTAAAAAGCAACAATAATTATATATTTTATTACATAATAAGTTTCAAATTTGATTAAATATTTTTAATACAATTAGTTTTTTATATTTCATTATAATTTTAGTATTTTATGAGTTCGATTTCTTACACTAATATCGTTTAAATGCAAGTTGTTGAGTACCTTTCACATAGAAGTATTTTAATTCTTTTTTCATTAGAAAACTGAAGGATTATATTTTTTTATAGGATCAAACAATTAACTATTTTTAGGTTATTTTTACCAAACAAATGTATGTAAATAAGACATACATTTGTTTGGTATAATCGAAGGACTTATGAGACTAAACAATTATACGTCTTATTAATAAAGTTACATACATTTGTTTGGTAAAAATAACCTAAAAATAGTTAATTGTTTGATCCTATAAAAAAATATAATCCTTCAGTTTTCTAATGATAAAATGCATGTCTTATATATATATATATATATATATATATATATATATATATATGTTATGTAACATCCCAAAATTTCAAATACTTATATATATCAAAACTAGTATCCCAAAATCAAACACTTACATTGCAGCGGAAATAAAATTTCTAATCTTACAATTTATATCACTATCTAAACTTACAATCATGACGAACATACGTTGCTCGATATAACAATGCATTGATCTGCACATGTCATTCTTTGATGCTAATCCTTATTTGTCTCTTTATCCAACTTTTCTTTCCAGTCTAATTGTCGCCTGGGTGAAAAAGTTTTAAAAGAGTTTTGGGTGAGCCTTAGGCCCAGTGAATCCACGATTTTCATGCATGAACAACAACTTTTATAAAAAACAATTTTCACGAAGCTTCATAAATTTAGCATGCCTTGATGAGAATAATGATTTTCACAAAATAAATATATTATAGTGTGTGTCTGCATCACAAAGCAACAGCGTCATGGGAGATGTCTACCTCACACAGCATTACCTGGCGAACTCACACAACATGTTCGCACTTACGGCTTAGACAAGCTCACAAAGCATGCTCATCTTTACAAAATCATACCGTAGTACATCCCCATTGACACACAAGTACACAAAACACATATTATAAAAATATCGCACTTTTCTCGCATATATAACATATCAAAAATCTCGAGAAGCTTCAAACAACTTGTGGATAATAAGAAATAAGGCATGCAACCATTTTAAAAATAAATCACGTGTAACTCACCATACAGGTCATAACTCCAAACCGTTCCTCGAAGTTCCTCATGTTCTCCCAAAACAACGCATCAAACTTGTTGCGCTTCACTAAATCATCCTCATCTTTCACCTCTCTTGTACGAGTTTCCTTCCCCGAGAATTTGTCATCTCTATGCTTGAAGACCTCCCCATATATATACTTAGTAATCGGCTGTTTCACGGAATATGAAACGATAAGCCATAATTAATGATCGTAGATTTCATGACCATTGAGTTTCCTGTCATTAAATTACAATTAATTTATTTCCTTTTTTTCTTTTTCTTTTTTTTGGTTATTACATATTACTATAAGTTTATAAAGTTAGCGTTCTATTAATAAAATCACATAAATTTATTTGGTAAAAAGTAGCCTAATATAGTTTTGGTCCTATAAAAAAATTAATCCTTTAATCCTTAATGAAGAAAAAGAAATAAAATATTATCATGTGAGGAGTACTCAACAACTTACACTTGAATGACGTTAATAACAGAAAACGAATTAATAAAAAACTAAAACTATAAAGACCAAAGATATGAAACAACGAATTATATGAAAAATATTTAATTATTTTATCATAAACAATGAAAAAAATAATATAATTTTCTATGTATTAATCTTTTTTATAAAAAAATTATAGTCTGATTAATCAAAAACACTAAAATACCAAAAAATAAACCAACATAGAAAAAATATTCAAATGACCAAAATAACCTAACGTTAAATGAAGTATTTTTAATAGATTTACGTTGTGTTCTCGAAGCTTCTTCTACAAAAGAAAAGAAAGGAAATAGAGGAAAAGTGAAAAAGGTACAAAAAGTTGTGTTCCCGAATATGAGAGAAATGAAAGGAAAATAATTATAAGTTTTCTCCCAATACTTTCGTTCCAGATGTGAGAGGAAAAGGAATAAAAGAAATTAAAACTCCTTAAAAAAATATTAAAATTACAAAACTACCCAACTTTTAATTATAAAAAACATATTTTTAAATAATATATTTATAAAAATGATATATTTTAATTAAATCAATAAGAATATCCAATTGGCATTTTCCTATTTTTCCTTTAATTATTCCTATTTTAATATTATTACATTATCTTAAGATCTTAAAATAGGCATATTCTTGGTTTCCCGCGACTATTAAAATTTAATACTATTTTTAAGATCTTAAATTAGAAAATCCAAATCCTAGAAAATGTGGGGAATATGTCCCCCTTTTCAACTACGAATTGATGGTGAATAGTTGACCATCAAATATTTAATTCAAGGGAATATATTTATATAAATTATAATTAAATAAAATAGGATCGGAAGAGCATCCATCATTAATCAAATCCCACTGATTTTTCTTCTCACTAATATTTAAAATCAATCAATAAATACATTTTTAATTAAACCTCAACCTTGATAAATTAAATTAAATTAAAATATCTTGTAGTTATCTACTTGTTTCTTCTGTTGTTATATTTCATTTATATTATAACACTTGTAACAAAAGTTGATATTTAATTGTTTTCTCATAGCTTTATTTGGGAGATAAAGCAAATACAGAAAATTGTACAATTTTTTTTGTACATAATTACAGTGATTCAGAAAAAGGATTTACATACAATCAAACTCACAAATGTAACTTGTTACACAACCACTCCCTCCCACTTTATGATAAGCTATCTGGTCTGTTAATTTTAAATTAACAGACCGGATCCATACTTAATAGGATCAACCAGTTTGACTGGTCCGATTTAAGAGATACACGGGAATTAGTTAGAGTCGTATTCCCCTTGGTCAGTGGTTTCATCCTCCTTCAAAGATGCCAGAGAATGCATCGAAAGCTGAGTATGGTACTGTTGGACCACCAACACCGATGCCGTCGTCATGATCTTCCCGGATATCAACAAATTTCCGACCGGTCCCATCTCGGGGCACTCGCTTTTCCGTCTCATCGACGCCACCAGCTCGCCTTCCGGCATCCTTCCGACCAAAATCATGTTGCATCGGCTATGTTCACGAATAATCTCAATTGCCTCGTAAGCGTCACGGACCACCCTCTCGATGTATTTGTTCGTGCCGTCCTTCATGAGTTTCTCCTTGAATTCCTCGATCACGTCGTCGTCCATTGACCGAGCTTCGATGGTGCCGGGTTCGTCAATCTCGACACTCACTGAACCCGACTTGACGTTACCGTCGAGAATAAATCGGACCACGACTAGGTTGATTCCGGGGTGCTCGGCCATACGGGCTCCATATGCTAAAGCCTCGTGGTCGTCATGACCACCAAAGAACAGAACCGTAATGAGAGAGTCTACGTTACTTGCGGACACGTGCGAGCTCCCTCCGAGACCACGGTCTACCAAGATACTGACCGAACACGGTGCATGCTCCAAAACCTTGCGATTAACGTGCCTGAAATTATAAAAAAACATCGAATTTAAAATCTAATTCCGTTAAACCGTTGATAATTGCCAAATTAGACCCTTTCGCGTACCTGTATTCGGCTCGAGTGGTCTCGAGCAGACCGTCGAGCCGCTGGTGCTTGTGAAATGGGAGGATGATCATGGCGGCCTTCTTGCTCTCAGCCCCATTACAGATATCTTCGTGCATGCTCGATATGGCGGAAATGGCGGTTGTCGGTCGGATCGTTACTTTGCTCAGCTGCTGGAACGTCTCGAAAGCCACCACCATCTGGTCGGAGTCCGCATTAGGATCTTTCCTCCAGAACGGGAGCCCGTTTTTCCTGGCCTTGTGAACCATGAGTATAGCCGAAGACCTCTCTGTGAGCTCCATGAGGTGCATCGCATGGACCGTAAGTGTCTCCTTCTTCCCAGTTCCACGTGAGGCCTCGATGAGATTGATCATTGTTGGTAGGTTTCTAATACCGTGGAAAGTGAAGAACATTCGGAACGGACTCGTGGAGGATCCTTTCCTGTACACCGTTCGGTGTTTATATTCCGATTTTGCAGGGGCTTTCGCCGGCTTATACACCGCAACAACCGAAGGCGTCGTGATAAATGTCGTGACAAGTGCCATCAGAACCAATATCGCAAACGTTTGGTCGTTTAACACCTGAAATGTTCGGTTTTAAATACACGTATAATGTTCGATAGCATACGGATTAGAAACAAAAAGCGAAAGAACATACCCCACGATCCTTTCCGATATTGAGAACGATAAGTTCAACCAATCCTTTCGTGTTCATCAAAAGACCGAGGGCAAGCGCTTCCGAGAACGGAACTTTACACAGCATCGTAACCCCAACTGTGCCAGCAATCTTCCCGAAACAGGCTGTGAATATGACCAAAACAAGTAAGCCCCACGACTGAAGCCCTTTGATCGAAGCAACATTGGTCTTTAAACCGCTCGACACAAAGTAAAGCGGTAGGAATAGGCCGGAAACGAGATCTTCGACTTTTTCGACCAATGCCCCCGCAAAAGCTCCTTCTTTCGGGATGAGAACCCCCACCACGAAAGCCCCAAAAAGCGCGTGAATCCCGATGGTATCCGTCACAAACCCAGCAGCCAAAACCATGCCGAGAGTGGCACAAACATAGAGCTCGTCGACCGGCTCGCCATCAGGGCACCGTTGAGACATCCACTTGAAAATAGGCGGGACGGCAAACGAACATAGAACAATGAAAGCCGAACCCGATAAGAAAACCCACAGTGCAACAAGCGGTGAACGGCCGGTGCCAGAAAGCGCGACGGCAAGAGCAAGTAGGACCCACGCCGCCACGTCATTAACAGCAGCTGCTGACATGGCCATTTTACCGACATCGGTGGTCAGAAGCTTGAGTTCAGCTAGAATCCGAGCTAGCACTGGGAAAGCCGTGATGGACATTGCAACCCCCATAAAAACAATAAACGGGCCTTGGCTGACGCCTTTCGCGATGGTCCCACGGAGGATAAAGGAAACACCGGTTCCTAAGATGAAGGGAAGCGAGATCCCTGCAACAGCTATCGCCAGCGCTTTCTTCCCGGTTCGCCGAAGAGACTTTAAGTCGAGCTCAAGTCCAACGAGGAAGAGAAAGAACAGAAGCCCGAGGTTCGCTAACGTGTCCAACACCGGCAGGCTCCTCGCCGGAAACACCGCATGAAGGTAGTCCGTATTACGGCCTAGAGCCGATGGACCCAGTAAAACCCCACCCTGCCAACAAAAAATCAACATCGAATTTCGTCACATAGACCAAACAAAACTGTATATCCCACGTCATCTCACACCAATGAGATAAAGACATTTCATTGTTTTATTTAATTCTTATTTTTTATTTTTTTTTCTAAACGGATCGAATGTGTCTTAATATGATTGGTGGATAGAAACATAGGATTTGAGGACAACCGATACGTCGGAGTGTGAGCAAACGTGTAGACGGAATAATAAATAACGGAATAAGAAAAACTTAGCTTTATTTTTTATGAATTCAAGAAGTATAATTGAATCAAACACATCATCATGTGGAAGTTGTTTTTGACTTTGTGATAAAGAACACAACAGAATTGATGTCTTTCTTTACTTGTCTAGATCTATATCATCCATTATTGGTATATTTTAATCAAGGAATCATATAAAAAGTGATCTTTTTCCCACAAAGACCGCGATAACAGCATATCATAATCGAAAACGAACAGCTGGTACACCAAGTCGATAACCCGATTGCTTAAACTACAAAAAGATTCGAGAAAACATTATTGAAAGCGACTTACGATGATCTCAGCAATGACTCGAGGCTGCCTTAACGGCTTAAGAAGGTAGGCAAGAACACGAGTGAGCACCAGAACCAGGCAAATCTGAAGAATTACGAGAGGAAGCGCATAATGGAGCGGGTTGTTTCCTTGGAATACCCCTTCTGATGTAGCCTTCATAGGGGGTAGGCACGTGGTATTTTTGGACGCCATTTTCGACTGCGATATACAAAGAAAAGCACTGAAATTTAGTTTACAACCTTTCATCATATATCAAGTTTCTTAAACAGCAAACTCTAGTGCCCAACCGACCAACTAATCTGAAGCATAGGACCCACACACACCCACAAGTGAGTCCTATGCTCGAGCCAAATTACACCGTATAGGCCAAAATGGCTTCAATAGTCTCGAGTGCAGTTCCCTACTGATTAACACAACAGTGGATGAGACAAATGAAGTTGGTATGTTTGCTACTAATTAGGTTGTAAACCTGACTTGGGTATGCTCTGAAAAGACCAACCAGCATCAAAGTAACACCAAATCCATTATAAACAAAAAGACAAAATAAGCACTTTTCGAATCCCACATAATTTATTACTTATTTATTTCAAAAATTATGAAACACCCATATGATTCTATCATAATACAAACATACACCATTCCTAAACATCAGCAACAAGATCTCTAACCAGAGCCAAAGACCATCTTGGGTTAAAGAAAGATATATATATATATATATATACACACACACACACACACACACACATATATATATATATATACATACAGTTTCTTGAATATATGAGATTAAAGAAAAGAAAGCTTAATCAAGAAAATGTTCAAGAAAGTTCCCACATTCTTGTTTTTCAGACCCCAAAATCGAACCTGAAAAACCGTCTTTGGAAATCAATGGAGAATTTGCAAGTCGATTTCTAAGCTGTGTTTTTGAGTGATTTTGATCAAGATTCTGTGTGAAGGATTCAAAGAAAGATGCGTTCTTGAATATGATTGTATAAGATAGGAAAGTCAAACAAGTGTCGAATAAAATTCTGCATTCTGATTTAATCAGACCCCAAAATAGACTTCTGAAACCTGCAAACTACCAAAACGATACGTGTCTCGATTGTCCGTCAAAAACCCTCGTTTGAAATCAATGCTATATTTGCATGTTAGTGAAATTACTCGGATACCCCTACATCCCCAAACCGACCCCCCATCCCTAAAATCGACGTAAAAACTCGAACCCTTTTCAGTTTCAACACAATAACACAAGATTTCATGTGGGTGCGATACACATTCATGAACGAATCTCGAAAACACCCACAGAATTAAAGAGATAAATATACCTGAAATCGACGAAAAGTGAGGAAATGGTTGAAGGGATGTTTAGATCATAAGCAGATTAGTGGTTGATTAGGAATGATCTGAAAAAGCATTAAGCAAATAAGAAGGAGATCGGGGTTCCAAAGAAAGAGGAAAGAGGAAAGAGTGAAATTGACAGAGAGAAGCAAAGCAAGAAGTACCCTGTGGGGTTGGGATGTGGAGTTTATAGAAAATATAGGCATTGGGTTTTCTCTACTTATAGATCCATCTTGAACCCGTTTTAAAATCAAAATCCAATCTCTACACTTGTTAATTCTTTAATCATTTAAAAACAATCCTATTTTTGATTACAGATGTTGGGTCACCGAGAAGAGAGCGATGAAAAACATTGGTTGTTAATAATGTCCATTAAAATAACGAATGGATTGTGTTTTATTTTTATTTAGATAGTTCATTAACGAATGGATTCGGTTTTCTTTTTTTTTACTTGCCTTTTTTGTTCATTTTTATTCCTTTTCAACTACGTTACACTGCATTATTTGATTATATTTATCTACAGTTAGTTATACAAATTTAAATATTGAGTTTTAAAAATATAGAAAAAATTATGAATAAATTAATTACAGATATCACATCCGATATTTAATTAGAATTGTGATTTTTTTTTATCAAAAATATATCTAAGAAAATTCACGTTATATTGAAACAAAATACTCCTGAATAATCAACTGAATCCATCCAATCAAAATAAAACAGTTGTAATATCTTCTAAATATTTTATTGTTGTTTTAAACTATTTACTAATTATTATGGCCTCTGATGATAAACTAAACGAAGGTACTCGTCACCACATGACCATAAAATTCAACTAGGAGAAGGTAGCAAATATGTATTTATTAAAGCTAGAATGATGCTTTTCGATTTTAATGTTTTTTTTTTTTTTTTTTTTGATATTATAATATTATTTTATATGGTATTAAAAAAACAATAGTGTTTTTATTTTTTAAATATAATATAAATTTGAATGTATAATAAAATTTTGAAAAAATTGTATCGATTTTAGTATCAAATTAAATATTTAAAAAATTTGGTTTCTTTTTTATGTAATTTTTTTAATTCAATTTTTTATTGTAATTTAATTTAGATTTTAATGAAATCATTTATTTTTGGTTTAACAATTTAGTTTTTTTATAAAGATAATAACTAGTATTTTGTTAGAATTAAATAATTATCCTAAATATATTTTAGATTTTATATATTGAAAATAATATATATATATCCAGTATTTGATTATGTTTATCTGCAGTTAGTCACACAAATTCAAATATTGTGTTTTAATAGGTTGTATATGCGCACAATTTACTTGTAATCTTGAATTTTAAATAATATGCATCAATAAACAGTACTTAATACATAAAAAATGATTTTTAAGAGTTTTTATCAAATGCTTTATAATACTAGAAAGGTATTCGTACAATGTCGCGAGATACATCTTTAATATTTCATTTTATTCTTTATCTCAATCAATTTTATAATACGGTCTTATGTGATTTTAAAAAACCGTTGATGTTTTTATTTTTAAATAAAATATAAGTATGAAGATATCATAAAAAATTGACAAGAATTTATGGATATTAGTATCAAATTAACTATTTAAAATTCCTCATTATTTATGTAATTTTTTAATTCTAATTTTATTATTATAATTTAATTTAGGTTCAATAACGACGTAATTTATATTTGGTTTAATAATATAATTTTCTTATAAAAATAATAACTAATTATTTTGTTAGAACTCGATAATTATCCTAATTATATTTAAGATATTTTATATTTTAAAATGAGATGTTTATCTCTATTTGATTATGTTTATCCATAGTTAGTTAAACAAATTCAAACACGGAGCTTTAATAAGTTGTATGTATGTATAATTTACTTGTAATCTTGAATTTTAAGTAATATGTATCAATATACAGTACTTTATGCATAAAAAATAATTTTTAAGAGTTTTTGTCAAATTCTTTATAATATACTATAGATAATATAGATATAAATAAATAAAAGATTTTTAAAGCATGACTTCCCATTTCGAAGGATACGTTAAATAATTATAAATTACATTAAAATACAATGTATTGATGATTTTATTTTTATTTATGGAAATTTATTTTCAAAAAAATATACTTTGACTTTTACAACAAGAATCTCAAATAATAAATTTTGGATTATTTTTAAAAAGTCATAATACACGTTTCTTTAATTACATAAAGCTGCAATATCTTTCCGGATAATAAAAAATTAAAAATATATGTTCAAAAATAAAAATAAATTTAAATTTAAATTTAAATATACACAGAAAAGAATAGACTTGTTACTTAATATTAACAACAATCGTCTAAAATCTTATCTGTAA